TTTTTTCCTTTCGTATGTATACAAACTAGTCACAATTCCGACTCCAAAAGATTCAGAGAAAGGTCTGGGATTCTGATAATGTTCAACCAGTTTTCTAAGAGCCTTCAAAGTGGAAATTGTTTTTCAGCGGCATCACACATTAATCTCTTTGTATCATAGTATCTAGATTTCTTTTACTGGATCAGATTCCACTGGTGTATGTTTGAAATTAGGATTTCTCCATCTTTTGATGTACTTAGCGTTTGCATTTAAGGTCACTCAGTCTCACTTTAGGTCCTTATCCATCGCCGCCGCCGCCCCCGCCCCCCCCCAGGTCTCCTCAGTCTCTTCTGATCTTCTTCACAGTCTGCACGGGCTTTCAGGATGCTGGATAACATGGCTCCTTCATTACCCATTGCTGATTCAAAAATAATTTGTAACTAGAATGCTCTTTTGCACCCAAAACGGGAAGATCGTACTGCTTACTTCCTTTTATTCTGAAAATTGTCCACTGATGTCAATCTCAGAGTCCTGTTCTTCATCCAGATCCTATTCCAACAGCACCCAGCCAGCCCTCGTGAGGTAAATGTATTCCGTGCGCTACATGTATTTCGTGACTGAATAACTGAAACATTAGCTCAGTTGCCTAAACATAATTTCTCCTTCTAAACATATGTTTACGGAAATACGCCAGTCATTTGCGGAAGAGTGATTGGAAGCTCACTGAAGCCATGCTCTCTCTTCCTCAGCAAGGCTTGTTCTTCCATACCTTTAATAATGGTCTCCCCTAATTTATAAAGACAGATGGTTGACTTGCAGGGCTGTAGTTTCTGGGCTAATTCTCCCATCCTAGAAGTTTTTAAAATGGGTCACGTCTTGGCCAACTTACTAGACAGAGTAGACTCTGTCTAGAGGGGCGGGGTAGAAATCGAATAATCAATCAATCAATCAATCAATCAATCAATCAATCAATCAATCAATCAATCAATCAATCAATCAATCAATCCAGTCCTCGGGTTAGGAAGGTGGTTTTAAGGATCCTTACATATTTGTTGCCAGAATACATATTTTACATCCAACGTCCCTTCCTTCCTGGCCAACCAATAATTTTGAAGAACTCAAATCCACAGCTGTTTTGTTAAGAAAAAAACTGGAGACAAGAGAGAGATCAACAGAGTTTGGAAGGAAGTCCCTTAGACTCAGGAACTTCATTTTGTTCCCTCTTTTTGATGGTTCTTTGAAATCTCTCCCCTACCCCTGTCCCCAAAGGAGGAGGAGGAGGAGGAGGCTGTTCAGGCACGACTGTTTTCAGACGGCAAGACCGCTCAGGAAATTCTGGGCAAGGCCCCCTCTTGGTTTCTACTAACTTCAGAAAAGTCGAACTTTCCATCTTCCAGGAAGTCTGCGGGCTGGGCGATTCAGTCTGACGCCAACGGCATCACCCGATCAGCCCCCTCTTATCCTTTGCCTCCTCCGCTACACCCCGAGACTGCTTGGACTTGAGGTCATTCCTTTCTCTCCTCCCTCTTTAGCATCTTCGTTGGGGAAGAAACATTAATCTGGAACGCTTGCCTCGTGCTTGGAGAGGCCGAAAGAAGGAATCAGCTCTTGGGTGCGGAAGTCTCGTCGGTGCGAACAAGGCGAGCCCTACATTCGTTTCGAAGGAGAGTCTCCTTGGGAGACCAAAGAGGGGCCCAAGTGGCACCCATTTAATTCGTGTTGATACTGTCTTTGTCAGGAACATGAGGAGGTGGGGGATCTAAGGGCTGCGATCCTCCCCAGGGAAGAAGACCAGGAGGCCCCAGAGATCGCTGTCGGCGGGGCGGGGCGGGGCTGGGGATCTTCACCCGAGAGTGCTTTGGCTTCTTTTCGCGTCGCTGGGCGACCTCCGAGGCGCAACGCCCCGGCCTTCTGCGGTGGGGATTTCCGCGCGCTCTCGCGCTTAAATTGCGGATACGGGTGCGCGCGGGCCCCCTTTTACCCGCTCCGCCGCCTTCCCGGTCCTGTCGGGGCGGGGGCGTGTATCGGGTGCCCCCTTATTTCGGCGCGTCCAGAGGCTCGGCTGCCTTGCGACTCGGAAGGCCGGCAGCGCAACCTTGGCCGCGGCAGACTCGCAAAGAGCGCAGGAAGCGCCTCCGCTTCTCCTCCGCCG